GGAGCTTCATATCTGACCTGCAAAAATATGGGTGACCACTAGATAGCAGGAAAGAATTTACTGTCATTTTAAAGTTGTTTGGAATTTTACAGCCTAGTAAAGTAAAATGTTTTTATTTTGACATTTAATAATGGGTTTAATTATTTGAACAGGCAAGACATTTCAGAAGACAAGCAGTGAAAAATATTCTATATCTTGTATCAAGTTTCACTTTCAAAAGTAGTTTTACTTAGTTTCTCTTCCATCAAGAAAATCTTTTAGCTTACTGGCAGGTTCTTAAAAGAAATCTCACAGCTCCACTGGCCTTTTCTAATTAACAAAAAAAAAAACCAAATTCAATTACAAATTGAAAAGCTTATTAAATTATAAGGGTTATTTTCTTTTCCAAATGGAAGTACAACTAATGTTCCCATGCTCTGTGTTCCTTGCTAGTTTGGCTTCTCTCACAGTAATTTATATCAAGGAGAAATTACCTCATTCTAGAAGCCAGCAAAGAATTTAAGAGATAGGGATAGAGTTTAAAACACCAGCTAATATCCTCTGTGCCACTGACACAGAATTCATAAAGTTATTTTTTTTTCTAAATGTTAAACTTGGTGTTTAATTTCAGGAGTTATTTTTTTAATGGGACCAGAGTCTGATTTTTGCCTTGCTACTATGCTGAGAAACTATGACCTCTCCTGAGGTAACTGACTAAACTTTGACAAAGTTTAAAGAGATAAGACGCCCACCCATCACTATAAATCTTAAATATGTACTGTTCTTTATGTTTTAGCAATGCTTTTTCTGCAGTGCTAATATGGCAACACAGTCTGATTCACATTATAGGTTGCCAACTTTAAAAAACTGAGATAATTAAATCTTTTTGTGGAGGCAGCAAAATCAACTCTTTCCTAACAGTTTCTTGATGCAAGCTTGGGTAGATGGATATCACGGGCAGTTTGTAGCAAAAGATTATATTGTTGCTTCCTTTCTCTCCATCCCCAACCATTCCAACTTTTTACTTTGTATAATCATTATTAGGAACTAGGTCTTTTGGTATAGTATTCCACATCACAAGAAATACAGTCTTTTTATTTAAATATATATTTTCTTCCAAAAAAGATTTTGAACATTAGCAGGCTGCCTCCTCCTTAACATCATTGTCCTAATTTAGATCAGAGTTCATACGTGAAGAGCCATAACCAAACTTTTTAAAGGATAAAAAACAAGACACCAGCCTATCCTTTTCATTCTCTCCATAGCAAGGAAACATTAACTTGTACTTGACCTTTTTTAAAGTTAACACTTTAAAATAAATAGTGTTTTGCTTTTATCATTTGGAAAATAGCTTAGACGCTAATCATAACACTCTCCACATATTTCTATTTTCTTTAGCTTGATACTTTTTTGGCATTACTTCAGCTTCTCATCTATGCATTCCAATTTGCAATGGTCTTCTGAACATTTTTTATCCCTCACACAATGTACAAAAACCTCTCTCGTGGCATTTTTACTACATTTTTAACTGATATTCTCAATTGCTTTAGTTTTGCTTCCTAGGCAAGTATATTGAATCCAATTCTCCCTTGCCCCTTTCTCTTTGAACAAGGAATGTTAGATACAACCTGATAAATACACATCACACTGTCTTTTCCTGTGATTCACCTCCTAAAGATAATCACATCATCCAAGATTTTGACAGAAATTCCCAGGCTGTTGAAAAGTTTCAGGCACCCTTTAGCCTCTCCCCCTCTCACCACTGCTCATTGTAAGCTAATGTGAAGATAATGAAAAATGTTTCACTTTTAAATGCAACTGACCATTTCTGATTCAATTCTATCTGTTAATTAATATATTGAAACTAGAATTCATATAATCCTGAGGCTAATCCCATGATTCAAACTTTGAGTTATGTGTATACCAGGTTTTAGGATGAGCAAAGAAATGCTCTGGAAAATGAACTTACAACTTTTCAATAGATGCAGATTTAAAAACTGGCGGTCCATGGGTCTGATTTGTCATGTGCAGGCCACGCCCACCCCAGCTCCGCAAAGGCAAAAAACATTGCGATACATCACAATCCAGCCTGTGACACGATCGAGTTTGACACCCGTGAACTAAAGCTTTAAATTGATATTAACCATATGAATGATGAAATCCTATCTATGAAATATATGACAAAGGGGATTCCCCATATTGAACTCTCTTATTTAAAGATCCCTTAACTTCATTGCTGAATCTCATACTATAGAAAAAACAATCAAGACATTTGAAAATAAGAAAATAAATTTAAGTGATTTATTCATTTTTAATGACAATCATGCAGTATGGGGGAAATGAGTCTGGTAGAAAACTATTTTATTTAGTAACATTTTTGGAGTAATTATTTTTACAATGCTCATTAACATTTTCTTTCTGGAAAGCCTCTATACTAGAATACAATCAAATTAAAAATTATTAGCATTCCAGTAATTGGTCTGGTGATTACAGGAACTGCTACCCAACCCATCTGGAGGACACCATGTTCAGGAAGGCTGAATTAGATTATTAGCTAATAAGTTATCCTTACATATAGGCGTGACAGGAGTAATGAAAGGTTTATATGACATGACATTTTAAATGTGCAGTCACTTTTATAAAACTGGTCTGCTTTCACATATAATCATATAAAATCAGCATGAGTGCTCATCAGTAGCAAAGTATCATTGGTCATAAATAGTCATACCTCCTCCCCAGGCACCCACAAAGCAGGTCTAGCTTGATCTTAATTTAGCATAAATAAAGCAGTGCCCTGCTTTAAAAATAATCAAAGACTTCCGTCCATGAACAAATTAGAAGAAACCTTCAGAAAGTTATACTTTATTGTTTTTTTAAACGCTACTAAATTACTTAAATGGCAAGTATAATTTATGAAAAAGTATCACTGATTTTTTTCATATACTTCTCATCAATCTACAACAGTGTACTCTAAATTAGGAATATCCTATAATGCACACATAAAACTCTATGACAAATTAGAAAAAAAGTAAAATCACTTATATTAGGAAGTAGCTTTCACCATCAAATAATTGGTACAGGAAACTTTACTTGCTGGCACAATGTCAAACATTTAAAGAAAAGTCCCATCCATTGGAACTTTTCAAGTGAATAATTTTTATTCAAAGCTGCAATCTTTCAATTGATTTTTCTTTCATTATTTATATCTTGAATGTAAATTTATGTAAATTACATAATGAAATTGACTAATTTCATTACTTACATCTCATTTCATAGAGGAAAACAGTCAAAGAAATCACTTGAAACATGTGCTTCCTACTTAGATTTAAGGGTTGCTTCAAGGAAGAGATCCAAAGTGTGTCATCATATTATACAGTGGGGTATGGACAGATACCATCGGGACAGGGATTCCCCAAAACACCCAGTGCAACATATGGATTAATAATCTAATAATGAAATGTACACAGCAGCCTAATCAGTCATATCAGTTCACTGAGTAGTGGGTGTAGCTAGGTGTGCCCGTAACTACCTGCATTGCTGTATTCCAAGTATAGCTTCCAGAAGATCTTCAAGGGTTGCTTCATGTAGAGTGAATTGCAGTGATCCAAGAAGGAACAAGGACATGAGTACAGCAAGTAAAGTTTCCTGATCCAAGAACAGACCCAACTGGCGTGTAAGACAAAGTTCTGCAAAGGCAGCTGCCATCTTAACCCAAATTGCATATTGGCTTTGAGGAACAGAATGCCATCTCTCCCAGAGTCAAAGATGAACAATCTCCAGTGATAGAATCCAGGGGACACAAATCCGCACCTACTAGGTTTTGCTTGGGTTGAGTCGAAGCCTGTTCTTCCCATTCCAATACCCTCCAGACAGTAAAACAGAGTCAGTGAGAGAAGCAACAGGACTTAGAAGAAAAGCAAAGTAAATGTGTACTCCATTTCTAGATAACATATTTGTATGTTTTGGGCAAAATTTCAGCCCAAAATAAATGAACTTGAATAAAGAGATAAAAATCATGTATAAATATAACAAAATATAATATTGTGCATGTGGACAATCTATGTATAAAGTTAGAATAGTGTTTCTTCCTCCAGTAAAAATAATGTGTTTTGGTCATTTAATATAAGCCAATCTATTGAATAGATTTAATGTTTGAACTGAAAACTTTGAGAGATGACATCCTGTTCATACAGTCATTCTCCATATTTGAGATAGCTGCAACATCCCTACACATGGCTTCATAATTCCCTAAAATCAGAAATTGGAGGGTTCCCTCTTTGCCTATGATTACAGGCATGTTGCGTACATTTCTGAATTTAAAATAATGTTATCATTTTCTCACTGAGCAGTTCCCGGCATTTGGTTTTCCATCAAATTCAAAGGAGCACATGCATTAATGTCAGGCCAGTGTTTTGGGAAAACTGGCAATAAAAAGCCTGCATCTGACGAAATTAGTTATTGAAAAATGGCAGCAGAATAATTTGCTTTTTTAAAAAAAAAAATCTTGAACAATTGAAAACAACTGTAAAAATCGGAGATAGTATTTGTTACAAATGTCAAGTTTAAGAATGTTTCCTCATGTTTTACACTTTTTAACCTAATAGAATATTGTAAAGATATCATAAAGAGTTTGATACTCTGCCCATCATCAGAACTCTCTGAAAACACAATAGGACCAAATTTGGTCTAGGACAGGGCTGTCAAACTCCCCATGCCTGGTTTAGTGAAGGGAGGAAAAGTCCAGATACATCACATGACACCGCCATGACACCATGAGTTTGACACCCCGGTCTAGGAAGAGAGACAAAAAAAAAAAAAGACTGAATTAGAAAATAGACCAAGTCCATTAAAAAAACCAATCTTGGGTGAAATTATCCCAACAAATCTATAGTAGAAAGACTACTCAGCACTGTACTGGACCACTGTTAACTATTCCATTGTTAAACTTCCTCTTTCTTCCTTGGCAATCATATAATTCAAGCAGAATTATTTTGAAGGGGTTGAAAAGAATTAAAGAAGCATTTACTGCATGTTTTACCTAATTATTTTTATTGCCACTATAGATTAATGCCTTTCTAACATGTACATCAGTTGTGTAAATAGTTTACTGATTCACAAATAGTTAAATGCTATTAAATTCATGTGCAGCTATTCACATAAATAAATATAAATTCACCCTTCTGGTAAATGTGTGTTGTAAAATTGAGAATATACATTCTGGAACAATAGTTTAAAGATCTGGAGGGGGGAGGAGGTTAGAGGAACATCTATTTTTTCCAGCTGAAATTTTGACTCTTAGATTATATGTCCAGAGTTATTTATTGTTTGGACTCAGTTGCTCTTCAGTCTCTTTTGGAAATCTCCACCTTTGTTTTCTCTACTACTACAGCTTGTGAAAATGAAGTTGATTAAACTACTCTTAATTCCCCAGGACATTCATCCCAGGTATGAGAACTGCCTGAATATTCACCTGTTATGCTTCAGACAGCAAAATGCCACAGAGACTAAATACAGTGAGTCAGTCTGTGTAAACAGATGAACTTAAGAGAGAAACAGCCAATAATACATTGCAATTTTGCTGATTATTCAAGGACACTGAAGATGTTTTTGGTTGGAATCAGTTCAATACAGGATCAGCCTGAATGACAATTAGCTTGCAAGTCATGCCAAAAATGTTGCCAGGTTTACCTGTTGGGAAACAAATACAGACTTGATGGAAATCAACTTGTTTTTGCATGTTATGTATAAGAGAGTGAGCAGGTGTTTTCACAGCATGTTGATATGCTTCTATTGATGCTTTTCTTAAATTTAAATATATAACACCTGGATCACAAGCTGCAGTTTATTGACATATTTTAAAACTATGGCCTTGCTAAAAAAGCTGAAAAAAGTACTGTTAATTAAGTTTATACTGGATTTTTTCTTAGATCAAACAATATTATACTTTATACACATAGTCCCATCTAAATTTGATGTGGGAAATAGTATGGCTTCATTGATTATTAGTAAAATTAAATTGTACTAGGTAGGGTGAAGCAATGAAAGATCTCAGAATTAAATAAATAGGAAGTAAGTTTCAGCACTACATCAAATCACAATACTGCTGGAAGAAAGAATTCTTTTATAAGAACTTTTGTGTAAAGGAAACTTTCCATTAAAGCTTTTCATTAAAGTACTTTTTCTAGCATCTATTTGAAAGCATCCACTGAAAGAAAGCCCACCAAGTCTCTCAATAACTGGTTTCACTGTCCAACCTGTTTGGGATGGATGGATGGATGGATGGAGACTTGTGGTTGCTGTTGCTGGTTGGAAGTGTGTGTGGAACATTGGAAAACAATGGATCCTAGTCCTGGCTGATGGGAAGTTGTCCTTCAGTCTTCGGCAATAGATTTTCTTGGACCACCCCTGAAAGAAGAATAACAAGGAAAAGACGATGGCAAGAGGCTAAAGATTACTCTTTAGTAATATATATGTGTGTGTGTGTGTGTGTGTGTGTGTGTGTGTAGGTCTTTGGTTATTCGGGTTTTCTCCCGCGCAGCCAAACCCCCAACCAATCAGAACACACCTCCACCCAATCAGAACATCAACTGAATTAGTGATATCCATCATCTTCCAGAAACACCAATTATATTTGATCTCAAGACCAATTGTATTTGTTGTCTCCAAAATATTCCTTTGGAATAAGAAATGCATTCAGTATCAATACCAATACTTTGCTTCACATAGTAGTGCACTGTATATTCAACTAAATAAATAGTTAAAGTTCCATACTAAAAATGGAAATCCACCAAAATATGTAGGAAAACAAACAAACCTGAAATCATATTAAGGATCACTGGTTCTCAAATCAGCTGTGCCATTTACTCTGAGAGCCAGCTATACAAATTTAAATATAGGCAATTATTTTACACCATTAAAAAAAAACACTTTCTGGGTCCATCTCCTTATGTCATGTTCCAAGTATTTCCATGATTTTTAAAATAAGTTTTTAATGCTGATTATTTGCAGAGATGACTTGTGGGATTAGTGATGGTTAGTTGAACAATCCTTCCCTAGGCACCCATAAATTTTTATTGTTTCTTTCCCTATTTCAAGCACAGGTGAAATTCATCATGTCTGAATGGGTTTCAGAGGGTGAAGAAGAGAAAGGAAAGATGCAGGAGAAAATACCTTGAAACGACCATTGGGAAGAAAATGAAAACAGATGCATGGAATGGGAAGATCCTGCTGGGAACAATATGAAAGTAAAGCACATTTTTCCGAAGAGATGACAGCCTTGTGCAATCCCTCAAGGCTTCCTTCCCACACAGACGTCTCCACTGCAAAGGTTCTCAGGAGGAGGCACAACATAACCTCTGGGAAGAGGCGTAAATGGGGAAATGTGTCACAACCCTGGAAGAAATATTTCACGTCAACTTGGTGCTGTGCTGCCTAGGTTTTAGGGAGGGGGAGGGGGGAGGAATACTTTCAACGCCTCCAGGAGAAAAGCAGCCTCTGCAATTTAGAAAACAGAAAGAAACGCCTTGTCTTAACCCTGTTTATTTGAAGAGGGCCAGCCAACAGCGGCCTGGCTTTCCAGCAGGGTGATCCCAGCCTGCTCTAAACTGACACACTGACATGATGACTAGGCTTTGAAGATAGAGTAGCAGTGTTTATGTGGAGAGCAGTCATGGTGCAAAGGGGAAGAAGTGAGGGGGAGGTGCAGGGAGGGAGACTGGGAAACTGTAAGTCATTGTAGATGGGCCGGGCTGGCCTGGGCTGGCCTGGCCTGGGTGGCAAGCTCTTAAAGCTCAGCACATTCATCAACCTGCCTAGTGGGCCCGACATACTGGAGCCACAAGCTGCTCTCTCCCTCTCTCGCTGTGTCAAGCGTGATCTAGTCCAACTGTGTGGAGACAGCACAGCCCCAGCCAGACAAGCTCTGGTCAGTGCAAATAATCACAGTTCTGACTTCTTGCTCTGTTACTCAGCAAAGCCTGGCCACCGAACACAGAGTTCTCACAGGAAGTTTACGTCAATTTTCTTACAGACACACACACGCATGCACGCACGCACACACACACACACACACACACAAAGTTCAATTCATCTTTAAAAGCATTCAAATCTCTCATATTACACCCAAAGCTCCATTTCACCTCCCATCTTAACTCTTCAGCACACTTCACCAATTAAAAAAAAGGTTTCTTTCAAATTTTAAATACTCCTAACGTAAGCCTCTTCACTTCTATAGAAATGTTTTCCAACTCGGTGCCCTCTAGATCTCTCCAACTATAAATTTCCATTGCCTCCAGTTCAGTGTATCTGGGGGCACCAAGTTCCCAGAAACTTTTCTATAGTGTTGTTTTGCCCTTTAAAGCAGGAATAATTTGCCATTTTTTAGAACTAAAAACAAACTTGTAATTATTTACAATAAATTTTTGCATAAAGTTAATAAAAACTAAGATAAGTAAATTAACTGCTTAGATTCATATCAAGGGGTCTGAAAGTTCAAACAGATAGATGACCAGCCACTTACCATTAAGCTGAATGAAACCATCAATCATCAAATGTTTGTCAGTAACAGTGTTTCCCTTTTCCAAAAAAACCCCTCAAAAACCCAGCTAAGGTAACTTTGAGGGAGATGGGCGATAGAGAAATGTGAAAAATAAATAAATAAAAACTGGGTATAAGTTCTAGTTCATCTTTAGCCACGGAAGCAAACTGGGTGTTTCTCAGTCCAAGCTAGCCCACAGCATTTTAGTCACAACTTGGAATGGCCAGTGAATGGTCAAGTACTAATTATATATACCTTCCGTTTATATATCCCATCCTCCTTATGTTGGTTTATGACATAGTAAAGATTTGTTCAGATTTGTTTTTAATAATGTACCTCTCACTTTTATCATGGTTTCTGAAGATAATGTAATAATTGATGATAAATCATTTATTTAGTACTTGTATAATGTAATATATTACATTATTTTGCAGGGCAGTGAATACAAAAGAATCACCAGAATTAACCCATAGTGATAGAAAGGCCATCCTCTGGGACACTGGTGGTGAACCTATGAAACAGGGGTCAAAGGTGACATGCCACAACATTTTAGATGACATGCCAGCATTTATCAACACCTGGCAACAACTATTTTTGAAGGTATGCCATATTCATGTGATTTTTGGAGTGTGTGGAAGCCACAGAAAACTATTCTGTGAGCCCCTTTAAAAATGAAAGCCTCATGTGACCCAGAGCATCCTTGGGTAGGCCGCAGGGGCTTGTCAACCAAAAGAGAACACCACTTGAAGGTAAGCAACATGTGTGACACATCCTGAGGAATGCTGGGCCATGGGGACAATTGCACCGTTTCCCAAGATTTGCACACCTTAAGGAACAGCAAAAGGTAGCCATTTTGCATGGCAGTGATGATACTAAAGCTGAAGGCTCAGCCTTGGCACTTTTGCCGAGTGCCACTGTTTAGGATGGTTTAAATGAAAGGGAGATAGGGAATTGTTTCTCTTTTGTTTGGAAGGGGGAGGTGACATACCAGCAGACCAGTGGTGGGTTGCTCCCGGTTCAGGCCAGTTTACAAGAACCGGTAGTGAAACCGACGGGAGGATCTGCCCACTGACCTGAATGTTATCAGAAATGATCTGCACATGCACAGAAGCTTCTGCGCATGTGCAGAAGAGCGCGCGCGGGCACGATGTGAACTGGTAGTAAAGGTAAGTAGAACCCACCCCTGAAGCAGACTCAAGTTAGGTATTCTCTGAATTTTTGACACGCCAAGACCAAAATGTTCACTCCCGCTCATTCGTTTTATTGTATTTATTTTAGCTGCTTTTATGCTGCCCAGATAATGTTTGTTGATCATGGTTAATCAAAAGTGAAAAAGTCAGCACTGGGATGTGCTAGGGTCCAAATTCCAGCCAAGGCACTATATTGTGCTAGCTAATCCTGGTTTCTTCCTCTATTTTTCTACATTACCTCTTCATTTGTAGTCAAGACAGAGGAGAAACAAAGCAGAGTTATAAATCTTCAGGTTTCTCTTTGGGCTAAGCATGGAAATGGGTAGCATCAGGTGAAGCAAAGCAGCCCACTGATAATAACTAACTATGCAGATATGGAATTTGCATTTCTCACAGTGAAAAATGGCTTTTTTTAATCTTAAATAACAGTTCTGATTTTCCAGCCAGGAGGATCTGGCTGTTTTTTCATCTTTCTTTAGTGTGCTTCCTAGTAATCATTATCTGTTTCCAACTTTCAAAGACGCTTGAGAAAGAACAACATTCAAATATGGATTTTGGCATAGGTCACTTACTAATTTAAAATTGGCAGCAGGGTCTTGAAGTTTCCCACCCTTGCAGCAATAGCTAATAAGAACCAATAATACATCACAAAGGGAATTTGAAAGTCCCAGCCCCAAAAATAATATGTACAATATGTTCAACAGTTTCTCACATAATCAACATGGGAATCCCATAGATTTGATCCCAAATTTAGTTTTTTTTAATGATTCATATTAACTGTATCACAGTTTCTCCAATCCATTCCAAGTTCATGATGTCTGTCTAAGAAACTAAAGCACTTTTGCAGATCTCTCTAAAATGTTCATAAGCATCAGAAACAGCAGAATGCCACCTGAACAGGAAGAACTTAAAGCAGCCCTGTAATAGGACAGTTGTACTTGATAAAAAGAACATGCTATGTATTCTGTGTGGATAAAACCATCAAATATATATTTTATAGAAGCTGCATTTTTCATGCATGGTATATTAGGAAAAAACTGATAATTTGATTCCAAGTATGTTTACTCAGAGTAAGGTCCACTGATTACAGTGGAATTTATTATCTTGTATATACAGTTAAGCTTATAATCTTAGCCGCTGATGATATTCATTTATGCATTCCAAAAAGAGATGTGTTTCCTTGCAGTAATGAATTTAAGAGAATTCAAAATAAGAGTATTCATTTTTTTTTATCTCTGCTGAGATAGCAATTTATTCTCTGCATTATGCAACAAATTATAATACTATCTGTTTTGCAAATAATAGCTTTAGGTTGGTCTCTCAAAGAATAATGGTTTCCTGATTTATGCCACTGAACAAAGGAAGAACTAAGAAGGGCATCTAAATTAATCCAGCTGTATTCTGAATCAAATCCTTTTTCTGCTTTCTGGGATAATATTTGTCTGCAACCAGTTCCATATGATGAACCTTTCTAAAATCTTATTCCTGGACCCTGTCATACCAATAATTATTTGATTCTCAAATCATTCTCAATGTCATTTAAAGACTCTCTCTTATAAACATAGAAAACTGATGGCAGAAAAAGACCTGATGATCTATCGAGTCTGCCTTTGAATTTATTTTTTTGTTTCCTTTTTAATTTATTATTTTTAATTATTATTTTTATATTTTATTAATTTTATTTTAATTCTGTATTTTAAATTTTTGTTGGATGATGGACATATGTTTATTCCAAGCAAGTTTAAATTCAGTAACTGATGATTGACCAACTACTTCCACTGGAAGATTGTTCCAAGCTTCCACTACTCTTTCTGTGAAGTAATACCTTTTGAACTTTTCTCCTATCCATTTGAGGTTATGCTCCCGTGATCCTGATTATTGCTTAATATTGAAAATACTGCCTTCCAGAACCATATTCACACCCTTAATAGGTTTCAGTCATGTCACTCCTTTCCATTCTGTTCTCCAGCTATATATATTCAGTTCTTCCAATCTCTCCTGACATGTTTTGTCTCTCAGATCTTGCACCATTTTTGTTGCCCATCTCTGAATTCGCTCAATCTTATGAATATCTCTTTTGAGCGAGGTCTCCAGAATTGGACACAGTATTCCAAATGAGGTCCGGCTAAGGCCCTATATAGAAGGATTAGGAACTCTTTTTTCCTGCTGGTGATCCCTCTAATGATACATCACAGAATTTTGTTTGCATTCAGTTGCCTGACCCCACTGTTTGCTCATTTTGCTGTCATCTGCTCTGAGCGCATCTACACCTTTTTTTCCTTTTGTTCTGTATAACATTTTATCCCCAATACTAAAATATGCAGAAAGTTTAACGTGGGTTAAGTCACTGGCTATCTGGATCCTTTCTTATTTTGAGGGGCATTTCATTAAATTCAGCTTTGTAACATATATTACTGTCTTCACAAATCTTCATTTGTGAACTAGCATTGCTTCTCGGACCTCTACGATGAGTTTTTTTTTTAAAAAAAAAACACTCTGTGGCAATTAAATAGCAACAAATGCAATTTATATTTTCAGATGCAAATAGATTTAAATGGAATGGATTTTTAAAGTACCTTAAGATGATATATTGTCCTTCCCTATTCAAAAGTAAAAAAAAAAAAATAGAGCATATCTTACCATGATATATTTAATTTTCTAAACTTCATGGTTCTGCTCAATTATAAAGGAAGGAGAAGTGTAAGAATAAAGATGAATAAGAAATTTAATCCATCACGATTTTCAAACATATCGGTAAAAGTTCTCATTCATCCTTATATCCAAGGAGAAAACAACACCCATACCAATACTGAGAGGGCAAGAAATTGCATATAAATAGAGAGCAGACTCTCTTCTAGCGCTGAAAATGTTACCTAGTCAGGTAATGAAAACATCTGCAACCAAGCTCAGAGAGCACCAGGGACTCTACAATTCAATCGTGAGCTACATATACTCTCTTCTATTGTTATCCTATGAACCCTATACATGGGGTGGTTTCTAATTCTACTATTTGCATTTTCCAGACACTTTTCAAAAGTAATCCATATGAAATACATTGCAGAAGATGTATCAAAATGTGGATAGCTTTTTCCAAGGCTAACCAAATTAGGAAGTATGGCAGTTGGTACAATATCCATAATTGTGCTAATATATTCCTTAGCAAAGCTGCTACTTTATCAACCTAATGACAGCTGGATATCAGGAGCACACTCAAACACGCAAGCCTGCTGTTTATTGGTGAGTATAATTCCATTCAGAACAAGCTTCATCTCAATCCCAGAGTCCAACTTTATCCTTACCAACACTACTCCCAATCTTGTCTGGATTAAATTTTAGTTAATCCATTATGAACATTAGGCAACAATCAAAACTATCACTGCTTATCTCCTTGGAATGTCTGGGTGTCTTTAGCATCCCAGACATTCCAAGGCATCCCACACCAAAATCCTGAATGATGCCCATTTGAAATGGATCTATAAAAGCTGTTTCATCCTACCACACCACTGGTATATTGCCACTTGTCTTATCAACTTGCCCAAGAATACAATATTTGAGATTGTAACTATAATTTGAAACATCTACAAGGTAAAGAGAAGGCTTTTTGATTAAAGTTTTGTAATCACTGTGTAATCAATTTTATTCTGCTGGGATATAAATGTAATAAAAGATAGACTCCTTCTTTTAAGCATGTAGGGCACATCTTACCCTCACATAAGTGATCATTTCTCTTAATCCTGGACTCAATCACAATCTGGCCTGTTTAATCAGTGAGAAGTGCACGGGCCTAGCAATCAAGTAGCAACTTTCATTTGTCTACACACTCTGTTCCAGTGGTGAGTTTCAAATTTTTTTTACTACCGGTTCTATGGGTGTGGCTTTGTGGGTGTGGCATGGCTTGGTGGGCGTGGCTTGGTGGGTGTGGCAGGGGAAGGATACTGTAAAATCTCCATTCCATCCCCAATACAGGGGAAGGTTACTGCAAAATCCCCATTTCCTCCTGATCAGCTGGTACTTGAGAGGCACAGAATAGATGGGGGTGGGCCCAGTCAGAATTTTTACTACCGGTTATCCGAACTACTCAAAATTTCTGCTACCGATTCTCCAGAACTGGTCAGAACTTGCTGAAACCCACCTCTGCTCTGTTCACATCCTCCAGATCTATAAGGGCAAGCTCTATAAGCAAAACCAAAATAATGACAAAATTGCTGCTACTGTACAGTAGTGGCCAAAATTGTGGAAATCTTTTGGGAAAAGTGTATTTTTGAGGTTTGATGGCTAATAACACCACTTTTTTCTGGAGTTTCAAGATAATCATATTCCACTGCTGGAGTGGCCTGGGAATAGCCCAGACCTTAACCCAATTGAAAATCTATGGAGCTGACTAAAGAAACTTGTTAGACAGAAGCGACCCAGCAATAAAACCCAGTTAATAGAAGCAATCATTCAATCTTGGTTTCACATTATAACAGCAGCAGAACTAAAAGACTTGGTTCACTCCATGGGAAGACATTGTAAGGCCATAATTCATGCTAAAGGTTACCCAACTAAGTATTAACTGACATGGTGATAATTTTTGTATATCTCGTTTTTTCTACGTGTTTCATTTTTCTTCTTTATACTGTAACTGCTATTCTAATAGAAAATCCTTCATAAAAGTTATTGCATTGCATTCTTGATTAAATTATCTTTCAATTGATATATAATTTTATGGTACTACTCCAAAAAAAGTGGTATTATTAGCTAGTTTTAGGAAATACATTTTCCCAAAAGGTTTCCACAATTTTGGCCACTACTGTAGTCAAAAGAGCTTGTACATAACTAGTTTGTCCATAATTTTGTTAGGTTCCTGCACTCAAAAATATAGATTAAAATGACACAAACATGATAAAATATCTTTTTTAGTCATTATGTCTTCTCAGAAAAAAATCTTTCAGTGAGGCCTCACTAAAATTCTATGGAATTTTCATAGGAAAAAATGATATATCTAATGTGAGTTCATTCCAATTCCCACCAACAAAAATCAAAATTCAAATAGCTAGTCTCCAGAAATCTAGACATATTTTTTTCAATTACAGTATATGCAACATATTTTCTAGTCTTAAAACCAGTGGTGGGATTCAGAACCGGTTGTTAACTTTCTGAGCAGTTTGGTGAACTGGTTGTTGGAAGAAACATTAAGGCAGAGAACCTGTTGTTAAATTATTTGAATCCCACCACTGCTTAAAATTATTCTAAAACAGAAGTCATAGATACAGGCAGCTATTTTCATTATTTAAAAAGAGTGAAAAATCCCACTATAGAGATTTTTAAAATTTGGGAGTACTAGCCTTCCATACAATACCTCTTTGTTTATATTTATGTTGCTTTTCTTTTGCACGTTCTAGGAATTTTGATCCAATAGAATTTTTAACCCAATAGAAAGAATATTAATCACCTGATGGAATTGACACAGCTTGCAACAGTTTGCTGAGAACTTCAGTATATTTCTGAATCATTTCACACTAGCCAGCAATTCACATTGTCAGCAATTCATTATCTCTCGCAACTTTCTTATTACCGCTGAGAGCTAAACTAGTTCAGCTGTTCTGGCTGATGAGAAGCAAAGGAAATTACAAGTCTACAACAATGTTTGAGAGTCCCAACTGTAGAGAAAAACAACATCCCCCTAGAGTGGATTGAGAAATCTTACATTAAGGACCAAAAAGGATCTGAGCCCCAGAGCATGGCCTAATGTACTGTCCCTGAGACAAAATATGAGCTTTTTCACTCTTCAGCTTCAGCTTCATTCAGATAAAGAGCTAATGGTAATTTCATAATTCCTTTTCAAACACATATCTGGTTTTATAAATACTCATCATGTCATATCATTGTGCTATTATAGATATTTCTCTGGGAAAAAAAGCTAAACCAGCAGAATCTCAGCATCTTAGCAAATGCTTAAAAAGAGCTTTAAGTATCAAAGCGCTAGATATGAATTCTATTAAAAGACCTGGCAAAGCTAAAAAATTGAAAAATTCAATTTTTAATTGAAAAATTGAAACATACACTTCTAAATCATTTCAAGTATTGGCTTTATGACATATTTTTGAATGGCTTGCTTTTAAAAGCATCTAGTAAATTTTTCTTCCAACTTCTAGCATGTGAACCAAAAACAACTCTTTCATCAAATTTCCTCAATCACATCCAGTTGCCTTATGAAAAAGCACCTTTGAGACATCTATGACCTGGATGACTAAGAATCTACAAAGACATTCTCCAATCACACTTTCACCCTGACTATAAAAACCTGAAATTCTTTGATTTCAACACATTTGGTAATTTTTTATTGATTTCTTTTAAAATATTACAGAGAATCTCAGCATTTCCAGGACAAATTAATACTAAACGTGTATTTTTCTGTTTCATATCAATTAACTCAGTACAAGAGCTTTGTAAGGGAGACCATTATTTTTTCCCTGCATTACCAGCAAGTAGGTTTGTAATTTAGAGATCAGATTATTGCTTGGTTTCATAGCAATCAGACTATATTTGAAATGGCTATGCTTCAGTGTATTTGTTTTCAAAAACATAAAAAGTTAGCAGAATTATATTTTAACATTGACTTTTTATAAATGAAAGGAATTAAACATTGTGTTGCTTATGAGACTCAAAACTTTCCACCAAGAATTTATCAAGAAAAAATAATTGATTAAATTAAATTTCTTAAATTTGTAAGACCACCCAATTCAAAACCCCTCTGGGCAATGTGTAATATTAAAAGCAGATCAAAAACAATAATTATCCAAAAATGAAGTGAACCAGAAGACCTGGCACACTGCCAAAATGATGTCTTATTTCATCCTGGTGTTTGTTTTGTCACATTTTTAGACAAAATGTTCTACCAAAGTGGTGATGAAATTGAATCCTTTTCCATGAAATATATGATTGGTCAGCTAGTTTATTTTTAAACTAGTTCATTGTTTGTTTATTTATAGCTCCAAAATAGTGCTACAGCAACTCCACCCAGCTTTATCATTAGTACTGCCCCAGAAAAAATTAGTGCATAATTTATGGTACCTCCTGGACTTGTGCTTCTGTTTGTAGTTATGGCACAAATTCATCTTATTCATTAAGTACACCTTTTCCTGGACTGGGAAGCCTTGGTCACAGTCACTTTTGATCTGGTCCCTGTTCAAATAGACTACATGGAGTTGCCCTTGAATATCTCTTGGAAGCTGCAACTGATCCAGTATACAGTACCACAGACAATTATGACAGCACTTTGGTGTGCCCACGTTACACGATTCCTCCATGGTGTGGAATAATGTTCAATATGCTTCCAAATGTAATGCAAGGTTCTGGTTGTTACCTATAAAGTATTTTATCACATGGGCTCCAGTTATCATCTGTCACCCATTGTTTCTGTCCATCCCATTAGATCCAACAGGTCCTGTTTATTAAACAGTGCCATCTAGAGGGGCCATGGAAAGCCTGGCTTCTGGAAGATTATATCTCATGAGGTCTGCCTGGTCCTGAACCTCCTAGCATTTTGTAAGAACCGGAATAGAGGCTCCTTCAGACATGGGATCTGGAAGTTGGATAATCTGTTGATGTGGTTCCATATCTTTTTATGGTTTGAGATAGATTCATGTTTGGGTGATATTATATAAGTATTGAATTTAATAGTGTCTTGTTTGGGCTACACATCACACATTTCTAACATTCTGTTTTCACTTTGTCATTATTAATCTATATAAAGTATAGATTAATGAGAAAAATGAATTTCAACAACTGTAGAATCAGGCTGCAGCATAACAAAATTGAGAAAAGTGAAGGGGGTCTGAATACTTTCTGAATGCACTGTAAATAGCCATAGCAATACCACCTAGTTTTATTTACCACTTCACAGTGCTTTACAGCCATCTCTAAGAGTCAGCATATTGCTCTCAATGATCTGGGTTCTCATTTTACCCACCTCGGAAGGATGGAAGGCTGAGTCAACCTAGAGCCAGTGAGAACTGAACTGCTGAACTGTAACCAGCAGTCAGCAGAAGTAGCTTGCAGTACTGCATTCTAACCACTCTATTCTAAATCCTTCCATTCTCCACCATACAGTCACAAGCGAAGAAGCTTCTTGGATGAGAAATGAAACATTTTCAAGGAAAAAACTCAGAAAGTTAAATTGCCTTTTGAAAAGCACTATGGGACATTTTAACAGAATAACATTTGGAAGGGACCTTGGAGGTCTTCTAGTCCAATCCCTTGATCAAGCAGGAGACCCTGCACCATTTCAGACAAATGGCTGTCCAGTCTCTTCTTAAAAACTTCCAGTGATGGAGCACCCACAATTTCTGAAGGCAAGTCATCCTTGTGACTACTTGTTGCTTTCACTGTCATATCTATATCTATATGTATTTGTGTGTATGTGTGTGTGAATATACATACATACATACATACACATGGGTTATTTCAGTACTATCATTATGAATACATACTCATTAAATGAATCACTTTAATTTTCTGTTATATTTGCAGCCCAATGTTTTAATATATTACAAGCCACAATATTTATGCATATTATTTGAACTAAATAACAACATGTTCTAAATCCCAAAACAGCCTGAATGGCCAATGTTCAAATCAAGTAACCAAGCAGGAAAGAAACTTCATCCAGAAAGTCTAAAAACAAACTAATTTTTTTTCAGCTCACTTGAGATACAGTGCCGGGCTGGGCATATTCTGAATACTAATGATCAGCTGTTTGGCAAGGACGAAAGCTTTAGGAGACTTATCCAGCTCCCTGCTTTTTACCAAACAGCTGATCAGCAATGTACATCTGTATCTTAAATCAAATTAAGTTATCTCTGATTAATGCTAAATTCCTAGCCTGTGCAATTCCCTATTTAACCAAGGATGCAGGCTCAAAATCCTGCTCCCACACGTACTTAACTTCCAAGTAGAAAA